GCTGCAAAAATCATGAATCCTTGCAGCGCATGCCACCCAAGACACAGAGAGAGAGGGCCACCCCTTCTGCTGGCACGAACACAGTGTGTCGGCTGGCTCTTGGGGGACTGAACAGACAGACAGACGAGACACCAGAACATCTACCATTGTATACCTTGGCTGGTCTATCTCCAACCTATATCGCCCACCTATCTTGGTTACCGTGGTAGGCCATTGCAAAATGATGGGAACATGGTCGCTACCTACCTCTCTACCTATCAACCTACCTACCTACCTACCTACCTACCTACCTACCTACCTACCTACCTACCTACCTACCTACCTACCTACCTACCTACCTACCTACCTACCTACCTACCTACCTACCCACCACAAGGGACAAATTGGCAACCACCATTGGTGAACAAACGAACCATGGTATCTCCGAGGAACAGGCAGTGTTGCGTACTAACCTAGTAAGTAGAAAGAGGGCGCCGTGCTCAAGGTTGTGGCCAGACTGGCGGCGCAGCCACTGTGCTGTCAGTCGGTCAGATATCGGTCATTGTAGGGCCGAAACACATTAAATTCCCAACGCTGCGGAAGTCTGTTTCAGTGGCAGACAGGTCAGTCAGGTAGGCAAGGTAGGTAGGTAATCTAGGCAGCTGGGGGTACTTGGTAGTAGGTTACCTAGGTAATTACAGACGGAGCATGTAGGGGAAGGGGGGTATTTACCGTGATAGTAATAAATTTTCCGACACACTGTGTGGCTGTCGGAGCTTTTCTTCTTCTTCTTCTTCCTCCCTTCTTTGTGTCCATGTGTGTGTGTGTGTGTGTTATTATCCAAGGCAGGGGAGGTAGTAGGTAAGAACGTAGTCCGTGGTAGCTTATGTACGTTGAATCTTGGCCAGCAAATTCCCCAATTACTTTCTCTTCCAGGTTGGATGATGTGCGTGCTGCCCCCCCCCCCCCCCCAAAAAAAAAAAAAGATTATGTCACTGTGCAAGCAAGCATGTATTAGAAAGCTACTTTACCCAGGAAAGTGCTGACTCTTGTTAATGGTGATAATCATGAAACCATGATTCCAATAAACTCGGCGAGAGTAGAGTTGGGGCTGAAGCTGAAGCTTTTGATGCTGTAATCATCTCCTCCCTCTAGCACTCTTGATATGAATGAATGTATACATTGCCATCGTTTGACTCCATGAAGGAAAATATCATAATATCCCGGGCAGGCAAAAGAGTAAGGGGGGTAGGGTGGGCGTGTTCAAACAAGTGAATAATAGTTCGCCCTTTATGCGCTGTCGTTGGCCATGTCCCCGCGCGCGTGTGTGTGTATGTACAGATTGCGGATAGCATATGTGCGTCCAGGTAATGTAGGTAGGTAAGTTGTAGTAGGTATGCGAATGCGCATAATTTGAGAAGAGGATGGGCTTTGGGACGAGGACAAGGTGAGCCGCAACTCGCGATTGTCCAACGCCTTGTCAAATGCCCATGTGAGAGAACATGGCAAAGTAGATTCCTCCTCGTCGATTTTTTCTTTCTTTCTTTTTATGTTTGCCTGTCTGCCTTCGTTGTCATTGTCTTTTGCGGCCGTCATCTTACTTGGTTATTCTCCTCTGTCCTCTTTGTTGTTGTATTCTCATCATGGTTACCATCACCATCACCATCATCATCATCATTATCATTGTTGACCTTCCCCTTCCCTCTTCCCCTCTCCACCTCCCGGCGCGACTCTGATGGTTTCCCGCCGAGCCCGCCGTCTGACTAATATAGTGCCCTTTGCCCATTTCGGCTACCTCAGCTGTCAAGATAGGTAGTAAGTCGCCCATGTGGAATGGGCAATAATAATAATCATGATAATTCCCCGGTTCGCAAGCGCCACGACCGATTTTTTTTTTCCTTCCAATCTCTAGATAGGTAGTAGGTATTTAGATAGATCAGGTAACACGCATTTTCATCATCTACACCATCATTACCGATACTTAGCTACCCATGTACATAGTTTTTAATACTCTGCGTCCGTTGCCTCGTGGCCATTAAGACAACAAGACAGAGATCGATCTGTGGCAGTCAGACACGCTTGACTCGACAGTACAGCTAGACGGCAACAGACGGCAGCCAGCCCAGACAAGCAGACGCCTTATACTTTTGTTGCAGAGCACGCACGAGCTTATCTGGAGAGCTTCTTTTTATACTTTGTTCTCCCAATAGGCACGTTTCTAAAACCCGTCCCCCCCCCAGGTATGACTGACTCGAGGCAAACGCCCAAGCATAAACTTTCCACTTCCATGGTGATGATGACGACGATGATGATACACCTATTGGTGCAGTGGGACGCAGTGCAGAGCAAAATGCCATACCGCCCGTTCTTCTTCCGCTTCTTCTTCTTCCGCTTCTTCTTCTTCCGCTTCTTCTTCTTCCGCTTCTTCTTCTTCCGCTTCTTCTTCTTCCTCCCGTTGCCCCGCCACTTAACGTTTGAGCACTTCTTCCTTCCAGTTGGCTGCTGCTTTCCCATGTCCATATATACCTACCTACCTTACCTACACATTCGATCCGGATTTGGCCTAAGTAACTGCAACGCTGAAGCCAGTCTCTTTGCCCGAACATGACTGGACCGGAAAGAGCACAGCGTCACCATTTCTCCGTCTGAGTATTTGTATTTGGTAGAGACCTTAGCAAACATGGCTGGTTGGCGCCATAATTCTTTGCCATTTGCCAGCATTTGCTTGTGGCAGGGCGTCCCATTCAGGTTGGCTGCAATTGTTCTTGATATTATTATCCCATCGTGGCGCGCCGCATGACTGTGTTGAAAAATGCCCGTGACATCTACCAAGCCTCCGGAGCGCCGTAGAATCATGTTCGGCCCACTGCAAAAGAAGGGGAGGGAACCGAACAGGAAAAATTAGCAAACCAAGATGAATTGGTGACTGTGTTGACTGTAGGGGTAATATGATGGAGGGCGCAAAGGAGAAAGAAAAGGTCCTCTCGCGGATATTGAATAGACTGCATCTCATACTGTATGCAAGCTGAACAATGGATATATGGCAATGCATACATACATTTACATTGATTCGATTCATACATACATGCATAACAGACATGCACACAAAATAGTAGTTGATATGATGATGATGATTGATGGTGATGATGGTAAAAAGGAGGGTGTGTCTAGATCGCAATGGGTGGGGTTTGAAGATGCCATAGGTACGTACCCACCTACATACATACATACATGATGGCTACAGCGCCCTGGCCGTTGTTTCGAGTCTGCATCTTCATCCATCGCCCAGCTCGACCGGGGTCCCCTACACAGCATCTGTCTCTGCCAAAGAAAATATTTAAAAAAAAAAGAAGAGAGAGATCAAAGATTGGAATCCCCCCCCTCCCCCCGGTACTTTTTTCCTACCCTAGCTGGATCTGCGACTTGGCCCTCTCCCATGGATCTCTCTCTTTTTATTTTTTTCCCACTGGGTCCCACCCTGATTCTGATTGATCGCGACTGTGCGCATGGATCTATGGATACATTAGTAGCAGTAGATTGGTGGATGGATGGATGGGGGAAGGGGATGGATCTATGGAGACAGACTGACAGATAATCAGGTATTCGTAGGTCGGTCGGTACTTTGGAAATATAAGCAGATCCGAGAGGTAGATCGGTACCTAGCCCGTGAAATACAATGTACATACGTACATACCTACCTACTACAACTTACTACCTACTGTGGTCTAAGCATGATACCTACATGCAATGTATGTTGCCAAAGTAGCGTAGCCTCCCTTTCCCACTCTCTTGTCGCTTGCTTTCCTTTCCTCTCTACACTTGGCAACGTGAGTTTCCATCCGCCCTGGCTACCTGATACTTATGCCTGCCACTGAGAGTATATCTTATTCTCCTGTACCTTGTTCTGCCTGGCTGAAGACAGAATCAATCAATAGATGGAGCAGTGCTTCTAGCCCCTCTACCTAGCTGAGCCTTTCTGCCAGTCAGGTACCTACCTACCTACTGCCTACATGTATACTAGATGGCCCAAGGTAAGGTCAAGGTAGGTACCGAACGAAGACTACTTTTCATGCCTCCTGGCCGGACATAATACTACTAGTGACCGAGTTCTCGTTGGAGAGGGACCAGAAAGAAAGAAAAAAATACTTTCCTGTCCTTCCCATATGCCCACTACTGACTGCTACAGTGTCTACCTACCTACCTAGTAGGTAGGTACACTTTCGCCTACCCAAGTTACTAGGCGCCGGTAGCGTTGGCCTTGTCCTGAAAGTAGTAGTCCTTTTTTTTTTTCCCTTTCCTTTTTGCCCCATAGGCGTGTGTCTTTCCATACATACATACATACACTACCGCCGCTACTTGGGTACCTGGGCTACATAGCTTAATGCCCATGTAGATGGATCTTTCTCCGCCTCTACCTACTCAAGTGTTCCCACCAAAAGTCAGCCGCTTGACACTACCTGCGCACTTATATATCGTTGCCATCTGCCGGTCTGCTTGACTTGCCGAATCCCCAAAGAACATCATATCCTCCTTCACACGGATTCCAGCTTTCACCTCACCTCGCCTCCCTCCCCCCAAACTAAATCACCTTGTCACCTAATAACTCCTGTGCTGGACGCAAGTCGCACCATACACCCAGGTATTCTTCATCCCAGCCTGGTTGTGCCCTCTCTGGTTACTTCATCCGCCTCTCATCATACACCCACACCACATCTCATCTGGCCTAGGCTTGTTCGATTTCGCGAGTACAGCAAACATAAAAAGGTGTGATAGAGGGGAGCTCAACATATAGACATTAAAAAAGGTCCAACGGGAGACGAAGAAAAGATCGAATAAACCGTCTTGATCTACGTGCCCATACTAGACAGTTCTTCCTCCAACCAAAGTTGGTCCTGGTCCTGGACTTGGGGGATAGAGACGAGAGGAACTTCATTCCAAGAGCAATTGATATTGTACACCAACCAGGGGAAAACCAGCCAGATACAACCACCCACCCACTCGTCGTAGGGAACGACCCCAGAATGGAACACGACCCGACAATGAACGATCCAACAATGGACCACCAGAGGAGAGGACCATGGTCCCAAGCGGAGGACACTTTGCTCATGAACTTGGTTACCCAAAACGGTGCCTCAAACTGGGTCAAGGTCTCCAGCATGCTTCAAACTAGGTCAGCCAAACAGTGCCGGGAGAGATATCACCAAAATCTAAAGCCCACACTCAACCACGAGCCCATCTCGGCGGAAGAAGGAGAGCTCATTGAGCATCTGGTGGCCACTCTCGGCAAGCGATGGGCCGAGATTGCTCGTCGCCTACACAACCGAAGCGACAATGCCGTCAAGAACTGGTGGAACGGAAGCCAGAACAGACGCAGACGCCACGACCAACGTTCCAGCAAAAGACGATCATCCTACGATTCAAACGAATCATACAGGTACTCGCCATACCGTACGCATATGCAACCGACTGAACCATACTCGCCCCTTCACCGTCAACATCAGCCACAGCCGCCGCGCCCACCGATTGAGCAGTTACATCGTCCAATGTACTATCACGACAGCAATCATGCTGCCGCCGCCGCCGCCGCCCTCCCATCACCGACAGATTCGTGGACTGGCGGCAACGGACAATACCCAGGATCACGTCCATTCAGCCGGTGGAGCCAAGACGACTCCCAGTCTCCTGTTGGTGAGGCCGACATGTCAGAAGCAGGCTCAAGCTATGCCGGATCCCCCACGAGCCACACTTCGGACGCGCACCTGCCGCCGCTGTGCGTGCCCCGGGAATCTCGCTTGTACCCGGCCCAGCCTTCACCCTCGGGGTATTTTGCGCGCGAGGAGTCGGCACACTGGCAACAACTGCCACCCATCAGAGACGCCCTGGATAGAGGCTCACACCTCTTGACGGCTCCGAGCTCTCCCGGCACCATGCCGCTCTCATCCCAACAAGTTCCTCGGACGTACTCATATCAGACGGGACCTCGTTCTCCCTCGAGCTCGAGGGATCGTGGGGACTGGGCCATGTGTGACACGAACACTCGCATGCATCCCAATCCAGACCCGGCCCCGACCACATTATCGGCCCACGACTCAAAGATGAAGATGAAGTTGGGCAATCTTTTGTCTTAAGTATTGTTTGGTATATCATTAAGCCATGGTGTTTCAGGCGTTTTTTGATTTTTCGGTTCAGCCTTCTAGGCTAGAATTTTTTTTATTCTTGTTTTGTTTTGTTTACATGCAATTGCGGATGAGTCTCATTCTCTCGCTGTCTCTGTATTCATTTCCTTTGTCTTCACAGCCCATGCATTACGGTTTTGCACTGGAGTAACGGGGATTGCATATATCATTATACCACTTGTCTTCCTGCTGGACTGAGGAGCAGGCGATAATAGGACGGATCATGGTGGCTTGAATATTCGTTCCGGAGCATACCCCCTTAAAAAAAAAGTTTACGCTGAAACCCAGACAGCACAATTTTCTGTTATTTGTTATCAAGATACCACTTGGAGGACTTGAATGAATACTTGCACTCTAACAGTATTCACTCAACATTTTTGTATGACCAGAGGCCAATTCTTTGTAGATATGTAATACTAATGTCGATTTGTGTGGTTCATTTAACAAGTAAACTAACATTCATGTCTATGCTTGCTTGCGTGCCTCTTCTGCTTATGACGAACAACTTGGGGCGACAACAAAGCTCATCAAGCACTTGAAACTTGCTCTCTTTCCTTTCCTCCCTTGCACTTCTCTATTCCGTAGCCTCCCCCCTTGGATAGCGTGCTACCCGCGGATTTTCTCAAGGATACTCGAGCAATTAGGAAAACATCAAATTGGATGATCCAGGTGTCTGGGCCCAGACACTACAGTTTATCCACCCCCTTTCATGCTCTTTCTCTCTCATTTCTCCCTCTCTTTCTCTCTGCTCTCTGGTGGTGACGGCGGCGAACCCAAGCTCTTACGCAGAAAGAAGACCAAGTGGAGGCCAACAAAGGAACGGCGTCACGCACCGGTGCAATGCTCTTGGGAGAGCCACCGTATGACGAGCTAGCGCACGTTACAGGTGCATGTCTCTGCCGCCTGGATCTGTTTGGTTGGTAATGGGCCATGACATGGCCATGTATGGATGGGGGCAAGGGCAAGGAGGGAACAAACGAACCCAGCTGCTGGAGACTACCTGTCTACTAACCCGACCCTACCTACGTTTGGATCTACTAGGTGCTACGTAGTGTGCACATTGATCACCTCCCCTACGGGAGACGCACTAGACATGTAGAGCACCTTTCGACGAGCGTTGCGCTCGGTGCGCCTGCCATGCCCAGTTTTTGGGCCCGAGGCCCTCCATCTCATCAGACTAAAGAAAGACGGGCTCAACGCTGCATTCTAACGGCCGGGTGGTCTCGAGCAATCCAGCCATCTGCTACTACTTTCTTGGTATGGACCACCTACAAATCGTATACACTACGGACTTGACTGGCTTGATTAGGCACTCACTACTCCCTGTCAGGCGGCGGGTTACCATGTGGTATTTTGTCTCTCCGCGCCGTCCCTTGGTTGGATCCAGCCAGATGATGGCCCAGGGATTATCTCCCACTAGGTAGGGCCACCAGTGTCAAAGCAATCTGACTGACTAGTTCTGACCCAGTTTCTTCGACAGACTGCAGACGTTGGGAACGGTCGAGACAAGAATTGTGCACCCAAACAAGGTTCGGATCACGCCCAGATCTGAGCAGAGAAAACAACCTCGAGGCCATGGCCGCCTGACGGGGCCTTGGAAGAAGTATATTGATAGACAGTCCTTACCTGATAGCCAAGCAAGCCAAGTAGCTGTGAAACAAGGGTTAACTTTCACTTACTCGCTCCCTCCAGCTAATACTATAACAATACATTGATAGACGCTTCATCCATCTACAAGCTGAGAGGCTTGGGAGATGGGGGGGGACAGAAGATTACAATTTGGGGGAGGGAAACAATCAATAAACACGAGCGATATCCTGACCATGAATGAGTAAAGCCCATCCATTACACGAGCGAGTGCAAGTTGGGCATTACAGATATGCAGACAGTCTGACATTGATGCATGGGGTGGATAATAGATGACCAGATTCAGCAAGAAGCGGCGTAGCAAGTGATGGTGGAACCAATCAACCAACCAACCAAAGAAAGGGAAAGTGTATGTGTGTGTGTGCGTGTGTGTGTGTGTGAGAGAGAGAGAGAGAGAGAGAAAGAGAAAGGGGATACCTAGAGTCGACGAGTCGGTACTTTGCTACAGCACACACACACAAGAGAAGAAAAAAGATGGTCCGTGGTTCACGTTGGTCGCATCTCGGAAACAATAGTACGGCACAGGGGAGATCTGCCATTGCAGATCTCCCATAGTTCGGCGACCGTAGCACGACGGCCCACCCACCTTGTACCTTTCTCTACCTAGACAGGTACCCCACTACGTACTCGCTTCAGCCCTTTCACCTTCTTCGTATGGGTCAAGGAGTGAGACCTACTGCAAAGTAGGCACATACAGCATTGATTATGGGCCTCTCTCACTTGCTAGTAGTGTCGAGTCGCAGTTTGGTAAATCAAACCAGCTCGGCGTTTTCCTCCAAAAATTTGACCCCCCCCCTGGCTACATGTCTAGTATAATACAACTACTGCGTGCCTATATCCTGCCTGGGTGGTAAAGCTGTCTGTCGTCTAGCGCAGTGCATTCAAGTGTGTATGTGCTTGTGCCTGTGTATGTGCGCGTGTGTGTCTATTGGGGGGGGGGGATCAAGGTGACGATGGAGGATTGACAAGGTCTGCGCGGAATACCCGTACGAAGCCGTGATGGTACCGCGGTACATGATGTACGCTACTTACCAGCTGGGTGAACGCGCTGGGGGATCATCAACAGGGAACAGGTCGATGGGCGAGCGTTGGACGGTTAGATTCTTGTGTGCAGCCCGCCGGAGCCGGCACGACGGATCAGCATCCCCATGCAAATCTGGGCGATCCCTTTTTTTTTTCTCGGGGCCCAGGATGCCCCGTTCTCTTTGACTGGACAGTCGTCTAGTGCTACCGGGTTCAAAAGGACTTCTTGTTTGTCGCCATCGTCGACTTCAGATGTCCATTGTTTTGGTTGCACCGACTGGCCTGTCTCTAATCTACTCTATTCATCGGTTCGCCTGTCTGACGCCTGTCAAATCGAGCGCCGAGATTGAATAGGAACGGGAAGTGGTGAAAAAGAAAGAATGGATGGAAAAGAAAGGAAACAAGATTTAAGCCCTAGACGATGAGGGCGGCCGGGGTCATTCTGGAGGTCGACACAGCTGTCAGTCACTTCCGACGACCGAGTTGGACATTTTTGATGTACGGTACTGTCTTGAGTGAGTCCTCGAGGCCGCTCTTCTACAGGTTATTGCTTGTTGTCATCGTGACTGGAATAATACACAGGTGGGTTAAAAAAAATGAAACTCAAACATGGTGATATGGCGGGCTACGTTTGTGCATATCCAATATACATTGCATACATGGCAGCACAGCAACATGTAATAGATAACTCAAAGTGGCATAACTGAAATCAAAATAAAACCTCTGGCAGCGACTGGGCTGCGTGAACCAGATGCAAAGTGCTGCAAACCTTTTTCCCTTCCCTTTGTCAATGCTTCCCATTTGTCACTCCCTTTTTTTTTTTTTTTTTTCCGTTCCAATTATTCCTATTCTCATGGGTATGCTTCAGGATATGTAAGGTACATTTGACGTCTCATTGTAGGGCGCGAAACCCGATCAGCGGCGTTATCCTTTTATTTTATTTTTCTTGACGCTCAATGTTTGATCACGAACGGCCGACAAACTTGACAACTGGACCAGACCAGGTAAGTACCTGCCTAACTTACAACATGGTTTGTCACTAGGCATGGACGGACTGACCTGCCACGAGGGCAAAGAGGCGGCGCCCAAACTGGGGAATGAACATCGTCGGTCGGGAGTCTCATTACTGTGCGGATCATATCATAGCCGCCGCAACGCACCGCAGGCACTATTGATGACAGGATTGGGATAGGT